CATCTGAGTTGAGTTGAGAGTCATTATTTCTATAGAGCAGACATCTGAGTTGAGTTGAGAGTCATTATTTCTATAGAGCAGACATCTGAGTTGAGTTGAGAGTCATTATTTCTATAGAGCAGACATCTGAGTTGAGTTGAGAGTCATTATTTCTATAGAGCAGACATCTGAGTTGAGTTGAGAGTCATTATTTCTATAAAGCAGACATCTGAGTTGAGTTGAGAGTCATTATTTCTATAGAGCAGACATCTGAGTTGAGTTGAGAGTCATTATTTCTATAGAGCAGACATCTGAGTTGAGTTGAGAGTCATTATTTCTATAGAGCAGACATCTGAGTTGAGTTGAGAGTCATTATTTCTATAGAGCAGACATCTGAGTTGAGTTGAGAGTCATTATTTCTATGGAGCAGACATCTGAGTTGAGTTGAGAGTCATTATTTCTATAGAGCAGACATCTGAGTTGAGTTGAGAGTCATTATTTCTATAGAGCAGACATCTGAGTTGAGTTGAGAGTCATTATTTCTATAGAGCAGACATCTGAGTTGAGTTGAGAGTCATTATTTCTATAGAGCAGACATCTGAGTTGAGTTGAGAGTCATTATTTCTATAGAGCAGACATCTGAGTTGAGTTGAGAGTCATTATTTCTATAGAGCAGACATCTGAGTTGAGTTGAGAGTCATTATTTCTATAAAGCAGACATCTGAGTTGAGTTGAGAGTCATTATTTCTATAGAGCAGACATCTGAGTTGAGTTGAGAGTCATTATTTCTATAGAGCAGACATCTGAGTTGAGTTGAGAGTCATTATTTCTATAGAGCAGACATCTGAGTTGAGTTGAGAGTCATTATTTCTATAGAGCAGACATCTGAGTTGAGTTGAGAGTCATTATTTCTATAGAGCAGACATCTGAGTTGAGTTGAGAGTCATTATTTCTATAGAGCAGACATCTGAGTTGAGTTGAGAGTCATTATTTCTATAGAGCAGACATCTGAGTTGAGTTGAGAGTCATTATTTCTATAGAGCAGACATCTGAGTTGAGTTGAGAGTCATTATTTCTATAGAGCAGACATCTGAGTTGAGTTGAGAGTCATTATTTCTATAGAGCAGACATCTGAGTTGAGTTGAGAGTCATTATTTCTATAGAGCAGACATCTGAGTTGAGTTGAGAGTCATTATTTCTATAGAGCAGACATCTGAGTTGAGTTGAGAGTCATTATTTCTATAGAGCAGACATCTGAGTTGAGTTGAGAGTCATTATTTCTATAGAGCAGACATCTGAGTTGAGTTGAGAGTCATTATTTCTATAGAGCAGACATCTGAGTTGAGTTGAGAGTCATTATTTCTATAGAGCAGACATCTGAGTTGAGTTGAGAGTCATTATTTCTATAGAGCAGACATCTGAGTTGAGTTGAGAGTCATTATTTCTATAGAGCAGACATCTGAGTTGAGTTGAGAGTCATTATTTCTATAGAGCAGACATCTGAGTTGAGTTGAGAGTCATTATTTCTATAGAGCAAACATCTGAGTTGAGTTGAGAGTCATTATTTCTATAGAGCAAACATCTGAGTTGAGTTGAGAGTCATTATTTCTATAGAGCAGACATTTGAGTTGAGTTGAGAGTCATTATTTCTATAGAGCAGACATTTTCTCCTTCTGAACTTCTAACACGAGTGGGATGGGTGTGGCTTCGTGAAAATGACCACAAGAGCAGCCGCTCACCGATTTGACAGCTCTACCACAGTTACACCTCCGACACAGCCAAAACATCCAGACAGAGTTCAACTGGCCTTTATCTACTCGCTATACAGTGCATTCGGAAAGTATTCAGACCTCTTGACTTTTTCCACATTTTGTTACCTTACAGCCTTATTTTTTTTAAGCCTCATCAATCTACACACAATACCCCATAATGACAAAGTGAAAACAGGTTTTTAGAAATGTTTGCACATTTATATAAAAAATAAAAAATACCTTATTTACATAAGTATTCAGACCCTTTGCTATGATGCTCGAAATTGAGCTCAGGTGCATCCTGTTTCCATTGATCATCCTTGAGATATTTCTAAAACTTGATTGAAGTCCACCTGTTGTAAATTAAATTGATTGGACATGATTTGGAAAGGGACACACCTGTCTATTTAAGGTGCCACAGTTGACAGTGCATGTCAGAGCGAAAACCAAGCCATGAGATCGAAGGAATTTGCCTGTAGAGGTCTGAGACAGGATTGTGTTGAGGCACATATCTAGTTAAGGGTACCAAAAAATTTGTGACTGATCCTTATCTACTGGCTATACATGGTGTGACTGATCCTTATCTACTGGCTATACATGGTGTGACTGATCCTTATCTACTGGCTATACATGGTGTGACTGATCCTTATCTACTGGCTATACATGGTGTGACTGTACAGATGATAGAATGTGACAGGGACACTGCTGGCCACGGGGGTGGGTCACTCTGGGGGGACAGAGTGGGTCAGGATGGCGCTGGGGAAAGGTCATCGCCATGGAGCAGCTGTCTGCCACATCACTCTGAGACTGCGTGGAAGAGCTGCTTGTGTGTGTGTGTGTGTGTGTGTGTGTGTGTGTGTGTGTGTGTGTGTGTGTGTGTGTGTGTCTGTGTGTCTCTGTGTTTGGGAGAACAAATGGAGACTTCACCTTTAGATGATCCAGTACACCTGGTGTGTGTTATTCAAGGCCTGTCCATCCATCACACAGGGGAGGCCACACCATTTATCAAGGGCAATGGGAAATAGGGAATGTTTGGGGGTGAGAGTGATAGCTGGTTGCTAATAGGGTTACGGAGTGACCGCACTGCAGTCCCTTCAAGCCAGCGTTAGCATATAGCAATAAGATTAGGCTAACGCTAGCATATAGCAAGGGGAGATTGTGCTTGTGATATGGCTAAATGCTATTTGTCAGAGAGGGCCGTCATTCAAGAAATCAAAACGGTTGATATTCAATCAATCATAACATCGACAAAGTAATAAATAATACTAGCGATTCATCAATTGTAAAAACAAATACACTGAATTACTACATAGCGTAAATCAATCAGCTCAACCAACAAGCAAATCATTGAAATAATAATCTGAATGATGTGAGGCTATCATTCATATACCTGTGTTGTAATATAGATAATCCATGACCAATAAGAAGAGAGTATGTACCAGTGCCTTCATTTCACCAAATGGTTAATATGATCAATCTACCAAATGTCATATTGCTATCAGTGTTAATAAAACAGGCTGTTTGGTTATTGGACCAATCCCCCACAGAGTTAATGAGGCATGAACGTGATCAAATTATTTTACAACACAATAACAACAACAAAGGTGGTTTATTTTCTGCTCAACACTAATGAGTTTAATTAACTAGAGTGTTTATCGTGGGGTGACCTTATCATTAATCCTTCGAAGCAAAATACTTACTAAATCTATTGCTGAATGACTGCTTAATTAATGAGTCATATGTTTCATATTCTAGGGGGCTATTTTGGTGCATGGGGAACTCTCCTAAAGATGATTGTTATTCAACATTGAACGCTATGAGTGAGATATAAGCTATGGAACAACTGCCAAAATATCAAAGCAAAGAATGGTTGGATTCGTAGTTCTCTCATTCTTGGCTAAGGACCACAGGTTGTCATGTTGTTTCTGTGTCTCTCTGTTTCACCATCTTTAACTTTCTGTTTCACCATCTTTAACTCTCTGTTTCACTATCTTTAACTCTCTGTTTCACATCATTAACTCTCTGAGTCTCTCTGTTTCATCATCTTTAACTCTCTGTTTCAACTTCTTTAACTCTCTGTTTCACCATCTTTAACTCTCTGTTTCATCGTCATTAACTTTCTGTGTCTCTCTGTTTCACCATCTTTAACTCTCTGTTTCACCATCTTTAACTCTCTGTTTCACCATCATTAACTCTCTGTTTCACCATCTTTAACTCTCTGTTTCACCATCTTTAACTCTCTTTGTCTCTCTGTTTCACCATCTTTAACTCTCTGTTTCACCTTCAATAACTCTCTGTTTCACCATCTTTAACTCTCTGTTTCACCATCTTTAACGCTCTGTTTCACCATCTTTAACTCTCTGTTTCACCATCTTTAACTCTCTGTTTCACCATCATCAACTCTCTGTTTCACCATCTTTAACTCTCTTTGTCTCTCTGTTTCACCATCTTTAACTCTCTGTTTCACCTTCAATAACTCTCTGTTTCACCATCTTTAACTCTCTGTTTCACCATCTTTAACTCTCTGTTTCACCATCATCAACTCTCTGTTTCACCATCTTTAACTCTCTTTGTCTCTCTGTTCTATCCATTCCCTCTCTCCTCAAGGCTGTGTGTCTCTCTGGTACCTTCTCTTCTTCTTTACCTCTATGTCTACCTGTCTCTGTGTGTCTCTCTGGTACCTTCTCTTCTTCTTTACCTCTATGTCTACCTGTCTCTGTGTGTCTCTCTGGTACCTTCTCTTCTTCTTTACCTCTATCTCTACCTGTCTCTATGTGTCTCTCTGGTACCTTCTCTTCTTCTTTACCTCTATGTCTACCTGTCTCTGTGTGTCTCTCTGGTACCTTCTCTTCTTCTTTACCTCTATGTTTACATTTACATTTACATTTTAGTCATTTAGCAGACGCTCTTATCCAGAGCGACTTACAGGAGCAATTAGGGTTAAGTGCCTTAAGGGCACATCGACAGATTTTTCACCTAGTCGGCTCGGGGATTAGAACCAGCGACCTTTCGGTTACTGGCACAACGCTCTTACCCACTAAGCTACCTGCCGCCCCAGACCAAAGCAATTGGAACTTAAACTGTTACAGTGAATGCATGGAAGGATGTGGGTTTGAGAGTGAAAAGAAACACAGATTTGTTAAAAACAAATTATGAAAATAAAGAGTAAAGCGGAGTGGTTTGTAATATGGCAGATCATATGAAGAGGGTGGACTTGAAGGGAAATGTTGAGAGAAGGGGGAAGTCCTTGAGCTGTCTGTGTGGGCTAGATCACCGGTCCATCATGCTGAGGATCATCTCAGGGGTGAGATCTCCGTTGGACGCAACCTCTGCTACAGGCAGCGCCACCCCTGCCTCCTCTGACTGCTCAACCACCACCTCTATGGCAGCCTGCTCAGCCTCTGGCTCATTCTTCACTATGATGTTCTCTATGGCACCTGTATTCTCATCCTCCACCTGGATGATGGCTGCTGCAGCAGCCTTGCCCTTAGGGGTAGCCTTGCTAGCTTTGGCAGGTGAGGCGGGTTTGGGCGCATTCTTGGGTGGTCTACCGCGTTTCCTCTTCACGGGAGGCTCCACAGGGGCAGGGATAGGCTTGGTGGGTGGAGCCTGCTCCAACTCCATCTCCTCCTCCTCCTCTTCTTCATCCTCCAGCAGTGCCGCCTCAGCCTCCTCATCCTCTTCATCAATGTCATCCAGCTCAGGATCAGCATTGTCCTCACTGTCGTCGTCATCATCGTCCTTCCTTGAGCGCATCTTCCTCTTCCTCCCACCTCGTCCTCTCTTGGGTGGGGTTCCATTCTCTCCTTCACCAGGATCCCCGTTACAGTTCTCTGCATGTCTGGCCATGGTGTTCCTGCGGGTGAAGGTCTTGCCACACTTTGTGCACACAAAGGCAGTCGGCACAAAGTTGGGGTCATGGTAGCGCCGGAAGTGCATGTCCAGGAGCTGCTTCTGACGGAAGGTCTTCTCGCACTGGCTACAGGAGTAAGGCTTCTCTCCTGTGTGCGTGCGCCTGTGCATCAGCATGTGGCGCTCTTGTCTGCAGCAGTAGTCACACTGGTCACACTTGAAGCGTTTCTCATTCTTGTGGGACTTCTGGTGCTGGATGAGAGCGTAGCGCTCGTGGAACACAGCATCACAGTAACGGCATTTCCTGCCCTGCTCAATGAACGAGTGCTGCTTACGCAGATGGACACCCAGGTCACTCTTGCGGGCGATAACTGTGTCACAGTGGGGGCAGTGGAACTTGGCCACGTTCTCTGTGTGCTTCTGCAGGATGTGCATCTTCATGGTTCCACTCTCGGTGAAACGGGCGTGGCAGATGTAGCATTCATATGGCTTCTCTCCCGAGTGTGTCCTCATGTGTCTCTTCAGCTTGTAGGTGTCTCTGCTGGCGTAGCTGCACAGACTGCACTGGAACGGACGCTCCCCGGTGTGGGAACGGATGTGCCGCTTCAGCTTGCTCACCTCCACACTGGCATAGTCACACATGGAGCACTTGAAGGGTTTCTCATGAGTGTGCTTGTAGCGACGATGTCGGACCAGCTCTCCGCTGGTCACAAAGGCCATGTCACAATCTTGACACTTGTGTGGTCTGGTACCTGTGTGTGTGTTGAGGTGGTTCCTCAGCAGGGTAACGGTCCTGAAGGCCCTTCCACACAGATGGCACTTGTGGGGCCTCTCGTCCGTATGGCTCTTCATGTGTCGGTCCAGGTTGGAGCGGCGGGGACAGGTGTAGCTACACAGCTCACACTGGAATGTTTTCTTCACACCCTTCTTCTTGATCTTGGTGGGTTTGGGGGGCTTCATGTTGCCCACCACCTTCTCCGCGTTGACCTCAGAGAGCATCCCCTCCTGCTGCTCCTCCTCAAAGTCATAGACAGACACATCCATGTTGTCTTTGTCCCCCTCTGTGTTGTAGCGCAGCTTGCTCTTCTTTGCCTTCTTGGCAGTCTTCTTGGCTGGGGGCTGGTAGTCTGGGTCCGTGGTCCATTGTGGGTCTTCAGTCTGGGGCTCGCAGTGCAGCTCCTCCTCCTCCTCCTCCTCAGGCTGGACCTGCTGCTCCTCCTGGTGCTGGAGCTCATCCTGCTCCACTGTCTCCACCTCACCATTCGCACCCACCTTCACCACCTGGAAGCCCTCTGGCAGGGGCAGGGTGTGGCAGATCATAGGATTTCCATCTTTGGGCATGGCCGTGGCGTCCACAAAGGTTCCCTGTAGCTCCTCTACAGTGGCCTGCGTTACGGGCACAGCAGAGACAGGCACCTGGACTAGCTGTAGCTCCCCAAGGCCTCCAAGCTGCTGCTCCTCCAAATTGACAACCTGCAGAGTGATGATCTGGGTCTCATCCACAGTGGTGACAGTGGCCTCGTGGGCTGTGACCACAGGGGCGTCCATCACCTCAGTCTTCATCTGCAGCAGGGCCGGGTCCAGGGAATCCATTACCATCATCTCCACATTGACTCCATCCACCAGCTGCTGGGGATCTAGACATGCCTCTCCCGCTGGCTGCTCGTCCATCACCCCCTCTGCTGCTTGCTGGAGCAGGTCTGCCACCACCTCCTCCCCCTCATAGGTGATGCTGTCCTTGGCCTCAACCACAACGTCAGTTGGTCCTCCGTCCATTGGTAATACCTGCTCTTCGCCGTTTATTTCCTCGCTGAATTCGATAGAAAGCCCAGAGTATGTTCTTCAATCTGACTATCTATGTCTATGTCTACCTGTCTCTATGTGTCTCTCTGGTACCTTCTCTTCTTCTTTACCTCTATCTCTACCTGTCGTTCTTCATTGTCCTCTGTTTAATTAAATACTTCTGTCTATTCTCTTTTCTTTCGTTTCTCTGTCTGTTCACAGCGACCGTTCTCCATCTCTTCATTCCATTCTCTTTCTCCAATGCACTCTCTCTATTTCTCTATTCCTCTCTCTTTTTTACCTACATGGCCAAGTCGTCTCAGTCGCCCCAGCACAGCCTTATTACCTCATTGTTACCTCTCTTCTCTCACTCTCTTATGTCTCTCCACCCCCCCCCCCCCCCCCCACCCCCTCTCTCTCTCTCCTTATGTCTTCTCCAGCCCAAGTGGGGGCAGAGGTAGGAGGAGGGAGTGATTGGAATTCATTACAGTCAAATGATTGCAAACTCTGGCAGCCAAGAGGTTTTCTAATCACAGCTGAATGGTTGGAGTGTTAACGCAGGCAGGGTATGAGTGGAGGAGAGTAGAGCTGCCGCCAATGTGCCGTTCTCTAGGGCTCTTCAAATGTGCTTCTAATGGGGGACTTTTCTCACACTCAATAGATACACTGACATTTTCAGTCTCGGCATACAGGCAGGCTCACTCACAATATACCAAAGATGTAGTCCTACTGTAGCTAGTAGCTACTGCTATTCAGGCAAAACAAAATGGGAGGGTGAAATGTAGAAAAACTACCTGTGACAAAGACCTTTTTTAAATGAGATTTGGATAATAAGGTAGCCTAAAGAGGTGCAGCGATTTTAAGTGGCACTTGAGAAACGTCCTTTCTGTTATAAGCAGGCCTACATCAAGTCAAGGACACTCGTTGTCAGTCTTTCAGAGCGCAAATTAGTTCATAAAGAGCATTTTTAAAGAGCATGTATAAAGAGCATGTACAAAGAGCATGTATAAAGGGCATGTACCTGTAATAATGTATAAAGAGCATGTATAAAGATAATGTATAGAACGCATGTATAAAGAGCATGTATAAAGATAATGTATAGAACGCATGTATAAAGAGCATGTACAAAGAGCATGTATTCACCAAACATGTTTGTGGTGAGACCAACCTGCTTTTATAATCCCAGTCACAGAGTGTGATAACACTCAGGTCAAGGTGATAACCCCCGGGTCACGGTGATAATCCTCAGGTCACGGTGATAACCCTCAGGTAATGTGCAGCACCTGGATCTGAATCCCAATAGGTTGTTATAGCTCAAGACGAAGAACTCCAGTTTAACTCGAAAGTGGCCTGCCCT